CAGCTATCGATTTTTTTTGCATGCTAGCATGCTAGTTAACATTCGTGTCAGTCAGTTGTTGGCTCTCACGCTGGCCAATAGAATCTTCCTGCCTATTCGTGGCAGCCAGCTATTGGTTCTCACTCTGGCCAATACAAAATGGCCGCAAACTACATGAAAACTGCCGTAAAAGCATGAAAAAATCCATTATTTCCACTGTCGATGGGAGTTAGAAAATGCAAAATTGGTCTTGGCCTTTCTGCTAACTTGGAGCATGTGCATGTAAATTTTGGTGCAAATCCGTCGAAAATCGCGACCGTGCATTCGTTTACATCACATTTTATATATATATATATATATATATATATATATATATATATATATATATATATATATATATATTGCTAACCAGATGCTTCCTCTGTAGCTTAGTAGTATAGCACGTCAGACTATACACAGTATTTATTTCAACATTTGTATCTATAAAAATAACGTATAAACAATAGATATATTAAAATAATTGTCTGAGTTAGTCCATTTCATTATATATATATAGTGTTTTAAGGTGTGCTATATTTATGGGATAAAGTGCTCAATATCAGAGATAGAGTGTGTGTAAATATAAAAGTGAACATTGAAGTCAACACTCAGAGGCGACATGCAGTTTCATGCGAGACTCAATCGTCAGGCCGCCTGATGATTGCGTCCAGACAGCCTGTCGCCTCTGAATGTTGACCTCAATGTTCAATTTTAGGAACCACTTCTTCCACCTCTGTCGTAGCGACATGTCCGACTGCAATAGACGTCTCTTTGCCTCTGCCCGTAATGAGTGTAAGCGTGTCCTCAACGAAGCTAAGTCGCTATTTGCTGCTCGATTGAAGGAACGCATCGCATCTCGCAAATTCGGCTTCAATGAGTATTGGCATCTCTGCAAGGGCGTACTAAACAGTAGCAAACCCTCTATACCTCCTTTGTTCAACCAGTTTGAGGTCCTGACCGCCTTTGCCGACAAGGCTGAATGCTTTGCTCGGAAATTTTCATTCAATTTAATGCTCGACTCTTCCGGTGTACCCATACCCGATTTCCCTCTTAGAAGTGAGGCCCTTCTGAGTGAGTTGCACATAACCACGTCATTGTTATTGGGCATTATCTCTAATTTAGACCCCCACAAGGCTAGTGGTGGAGATGGGATGCCAGCCATTGTCTTGAAGAAATGAGCGCCTGAACTGGCGGCTGCCCTCTCCAAATTGTACAACTACTGCCTCAAGGATTCTTGTTTTCCAGACTGCTGGAAGTCCCCATCAATTGTTCCCGTCTTTAAGAACTCTGGCGACCCCTCTGACTCTTCTAATTACCGTCCTATCAGTCTCCTATCCCTCTTCGGCAAAGTCTTCGAAGCTTTAATCAACGCCGAAGTGGTTAACCACCTTACATCTCATGATCTGCTCTCAGACAAGCAATATGGTTTCCGCTTTGCCCGATCTACAGGTGATGTGCTTACGGCCATCACTGAAATTGTCTACCAAGATCTTCAGAATAACGGAGAAGCTCGTGCTGTGGCCCTAGACATCTCCAAAGCGTTTGATAGGGTTTGATATGCCGGCCTTCTTCGCAAGCTCCAGGGTTGCGGTATTACAGGTCGATTGTTTGACAATGCAGTCATTTCTGTCAAACCGTGAACTGAAGGTCGTTCTCAACGGATTCTCCTCCAGTATCTATCCTACGAACGCAGTTGTTCCCCAAGGCTCCATCCTAGGCCCTTATCTTCATCAATTATCTTCCTGACGCCATTGGCTCCCAGGTGGGCATCTATGCGGACGACACTACAATTTACTCCTGCCTCAAAAACAAATCTAGTGTCATTGACAAAACTAACCTGGCCGTTCGTCTCGAAAAGGACACTTCAATCGGTTGTGAACTGTGGCCGTAATTGGCTGGTTAACTTTAATGCCACCAAAACAAAACTGCTCTCTATTAATCACCACAGAGAACCTTCCCTGCCCCCCATTAGAATGTCTGACGCTCAACTTCTCGAAAGCGCCTCTCTGCAGCTGCTCGGTCTCACGTTGTCTACTGACCTGAGATGGAACAAATATATTGAGTCAATTGCTTCGTTCACCTCAAGGAAAGTTGGCTCCCTGTGCCGCGCCAGGAAATTATGTCTAAATTATTTAACCAAACCTGTTTGAATGAAAATATGCTGCCTAAATATATATATATATATATATATATATATATATATATATATATATATATCCTTTATATTTTGAACGCCAAGAAGGTATATATATATATATATATGAATATATATATAAATATATATATATATATATATATATTCAACCAGGCTTGGTTAAATAATTTAGACATATCCTATCAATTACTTTCCGTTGTAATCCTTTCAAGCTAGCGGATTTATTTTTTGATAGGAAATTGGTAAGAAAAATACCAAAATTTCTTTCAAATAGTTTTTATTTTCCAAAGTAGTTTCAATCTCATCTGAGACCATCTTCAGGGGATTAAGTTGTCTGTGAATATTTATATGGGTTTCTGTAAATTCAAAACATTTCAACTGTTCGTTTTTACTGCTTATGCAGTGTTCTAGATTTCAAAGTTCAAAGTTTACCTGTTTTATGTGTTTGTTTTTTTTTTTGTTTTTTTGTTTTTCGAATATAAGAAATGCAACTTTTCCATTTTTGCTCATACATTTATAATTTTTTAAGGCATTTAAGGACTTTTCATGACTAATTTAGAAAATAATGGACCTAATACCAATAAAAAAAACATCCATTTACCTAAGATATGTAGATGACATTCTCATTTTAGTCAAAGGCATAGAGGAAATGCATGTACTAAAAGAAAACTTTTAAAAAAGACTCTCTACTTAAGTTCACATATGAACTTAACAAGGACAAAAAAAAATTCTATTCCCCGATTCATTGATAGACAGTAAGAATAATAATGCATTTACTGCTTTTTCTTCTATATAAAAAAAAACAACAACAACAACTAGTATCTTATGAAACCTGCATCTGATTGATGTCTACAGAGAAACTTCGTTGAGAAATATATTTTGGGTTGAAAATACTCGAAATATTTTATCGCATTCTGACGTCTGTATTTCCAACCCTGTGAAAAATGATGTCGGCTGGACCATACATTCCAGGGATATAGAATTAGGGTGGGGAGATGGTGGGGGAATAGGGGGCAGCAGCGGTATGCATTGCCTCCATAGGATCAAATAAACATGAATTGCATGTTTCAAATCAGCCACACTAGCACATTATTTTTGTCTTATTCGTTATCCTCTTTTTTTTACTGAAATGTTTCTATACTTTTTCCTTTCTTTTTCTTTCTTTTTCTTTTCTTTTCTTTTCTCTTTCTTTTCTTTTTTCTTTCTTTTTCTTTTCTTTTCTTTTTTTTCTTTTCTTTTCATTTCTCTCTATTTTTTTTCTTTTCTTTTTCCTTTTCTTTTCATTCCTCTTTTCTTTTTTCTTTTTTCTTTTCTTTTTTTTTTTTTTTTTTTTTTTCCTTTTCATTTTCATTTCTCTTTTTTTTTTTTTTTCTTTTTTTTATTTTCGTTCCTTTTACTTTTTTTTTTTTCATTTTTATTTTTTTTTTTTTTTTTTTTCCCTTTCCTTTCGTTTTTCTTTTCTTTTTTTTTTTCTTTTCGTTTTTTTTCTTTTTTTTCAATCCTTTTCTTTTTTTTTTTTTTTTTTTTCCTTTTTTTCTTTTTTTCAATCCTCTTTACTTTTCTTTTTCTCTTAATTTTTCATTTTTCTTTTCTTTTTTCTTTTCTTTCCTCACGAGTCTGTCGTTTTTGTTCTCTTTCTTTATTTCTATCGTCTTTTTTCTCCTTTGCACTCACTGTCATTCACTCTTTCCTTAACTTTTCTTGCTACTTTTAATATATGATCCCCCCCACTTTTTTCCCTTCTTGCTCCTTTTCACCCATTTTCACATATTTATCCTTCTCTTCCTCTTCATTTTTCTTGCTTTATACTTCTTTTTTGATTAGATTTACGAAAGAATAACATTCATTAGAAGTTATTTTACTATAGAAATGCATTGTAAATTATTTTACTATAGTGATTCATTGCAAAAGATTTTATAGAAAGAAACTGCAAATTATTTTACTATAGAGATGCATTACAATTTATTTCCTCTAGAGATGTGTTGCAAAACATTTTGCTATAGAAATGCATTGCGAATAGGTTTAGTATATAAATAGCTTGCAAAATATTTTTCTATAATAATTTATTGTAAAAGAGTTTGCTATAGAAATATGTTGCAAATAATGTTACTCTATAAATGCATTGCAAATTATTTTGATATAGGAATGCACTGTTCCGTCTCGGGTATGACGATGAATTAGATCCAGAAAGGGCGAGGGACCACCTCCTAATTGTTGTTGTTCCCTGACCCGAGGTGGTAGCACATACTAGGGTCCCATCTATGGGCAAATAGTTAACCTCCAAACTGGGGTCAAAAGACTATGAAAATACAAACATTATTTAGTAAAAAAAAATTCCATTAATACATTTTTGTAAAGAAAATTAGATTTCGCCATTACATGACCAACAAGGAGTTGATATGCCCCTAAAAAAAAAAAACAAACGATGTAAATTATTTACATTCCCACCATTTTTTATTAATCACCGGTGGATGATTGAAATTGTTCTATTAACAACTCTCCAAGACGAGCTTAATTATTTTTTAAATAAGTAAGGGGAAACTACTCTGTAATGATCCAAACTCCAACTACATTTAATAAGATAAATGTATTTGTATTTCTATTAAATCTTAATCTGCAGGGATAAATGATTTTTGAAAAGGTGCTAAAGATGTAACACAATTGTGGGATTATCTATGATGGAAGTGAAACAAGAAATAAGAACTTGTCTTTGATGATTCCATCATATTTTGCTTTTTATTATTCTTTTATCCTATTCCTGTATCCAAGATCCAGAAAGATCCGGAGAGGTCTTCTGCAGTGCCAAAAGTGATAGAGAGAGTTTAACAGAAGGAAAGAGAGAAGGGAAAAGTAACAGAAGAAAAGGAAATAGATCCAAAGAAAATAAGGGAAAATTTGCATCGGCAGTTATTTTAAGCCCGTGGAATCTGCGATTGGCACAGTAAATTTAGTATAAGATCAAATATAACGAATGAATACAAAAAGATTTGAATACTTGTTTCTTTCGTTTTACGGCATATCAACTTTCTCCAGGTTACTTAATGAAGCATTTCACAACTATATTTCGTCCAGGGTATGACGATAAACAAGATGTGGCAGCAAGCCTCAAATCGTGAGGTTTTTAGCAGCGTGGAACAACATCTTAATTACTGTTGTTCCCAAGTCCACTCTGACTCGGAGTGGTAGTACCTGTTAGGGTTCCAACTATGGGCAAATAGTTAACACCCAAACTGGGGTCAAAACACTATGAAAGTATGAAAATAGGTTTTTATAGTAAAAATGCCAGCAATATATTTTCAGAGTAAAAAAATTACAACCGAATTATTTAAGGTATAAAAAAAGCATTATAGTAAAAATACCAGCAATACATTAAAAAAGAAATATGAGCAGCAATACACATTTTAAAAAAATAATCAGCAATGCATACAAAAGCCCTCTGTACGTCAATGAAACCTGATCTACAAAGTGATTTCTTACAAAGAATACATGTTCTATGCAAACAACCTATCCTAAAAATTTTGTCGGCATTTTGTCATTGATGTTGATTTGCAATAAAAAAGAATAAACCCGACCACAATTGTATTGATAAACAACAGCTATACAGACATGTTTCTGGCTGGAATGTAAGTCAAAAATATATACGCAGCGCTAGTTTTCATGAGAGACAAAAAGGAAGATATACGTTGGATTTAGATTTAAAAAGAGCCCAAACAATAGTCATAGATTTGGCTTACAAGAAAGGCAAAAAAGCGAGACATAGGTCTGGTTTGCAAGAGAGCTACCTGAGGTAAGAGAAACAAAAGAGTAGATATAGGTTTGGTTTACAAAAAAGCCAAAAGGTAAATAAAGATTTCGTTTACAAGAAAGGCAAGAAAAGCGAGACATAGCTCTAGTTTCCAAGAGAGCCATTTAAGTTAAGAGAACGGAAAGGGAAGATATAGGTTTAGTTTACAAAATGGCCCAAAAGCTAGATATAGATTTGGGTTACAAGAAAGGCAAAAAAGCGAGAGATAGGTCTGGTTTGCAAGAGAGCCACCTGTGGTAAGAGAAACAAAAGAATAGATATAGGTTTGGTTTACAAAAATCCTAATCGGTAGACATAGAATTGGTTTACAAGAAAGGCAAAAACGCGAGACATAGCTCTAGTTTCCAAGAGAGCCATTTAAGGTAAGAGAACTTAAAGCGTAGATATAGGTTTGGTTTACAAAATAGCCCAAAAGATAGATATAGATTTGGTTTACAAGAAAGGCAAAAAAAAAGCGAGACATAGGTCTGGTTTTCAAAGAGCCATAAGAGAAACAAAAGAGTAGATAAGGTTTGGTTTACAAAAGAGCGCAAACGGTAGAGATTTGGGTTACAAGGCAAAATAGACTTAGCTCTAGTTTGCAAGAGAGCCACCTAAAGTAAGAGAACTAAAAGGGTATATATAGGTTTGGATTACAAAAGAGCCCAAAAGATAGACTTGAATTGGTTTACAAGAGAGGCAAAAACGCGAGACATATCTCTAGTTTGCAAGAGAGCGATTTAAGATAAGAGAACTAAAAGGGTAGATATAGGTTTGGTTTACAAAATGGCCCAAAAGCTAGATATAGATTTGGGTTACAAGAAAGACAAAAAAGCGAGACATAGGTCTGGTTTGCAACAGAGCCACCTAAGGTAGGAGAACCAAAAGGTTTGGTTTACACAGGAGCCCAAAAGGTAGACATAGATGGTCTTAAGAGAACACAATCAGCGTTTTCTTCCCATCGTCCAAACTGTGAGGGTGGAATTGTTTATGTTCCGAGACAAAACACGATCACTACAGTAGCGATCAAGCCTGAATTAAAACTGAATGAATTTTGAAATCAATCCTTCCTATGACCAGCTATATGAAAAACAGATTGAATGAAGATTATGATATAGTTATAAACGTCCTATATCAATGAAGATCAGAGAATAGATCGGCCGAAATGTTGGCATCACGAGGAAAGCAGCATAAAGAGTGGCATTAACTATCAGAACCAATTTTGGAATGGGAATAACCATTCTCAAACAAAATTACAAAAGGCTTTCCTTAAGACCCCTGCAACAAAATCGGGAGTGGCGCCGTTTTTTATTTTTTACATAGTCCATTAATTACAAAGCTACTTTATAGTGTGGTGTACCGTCATGGGTATGACGATAAACTACATCCGGCAGCAAGGACTCTGATTGGTAGATTAGAGGAGCGTGAAACCACCTCTTCACTGCTGTTGTTACCACGTTCACCCTGACCCGGGGTGGTAGCACCTGGGGTGGTAGCACTCGGGCTGGTGGCACCCGGGGTGGTAGCAACCGTGGTAGTAACACTTAAATAGGGTTCTTGTTATGGGCAAATAGTGAACGCCAAAACAAAAAAATCAACAATACATTTTATCTTCAAACTATATATCTAACAAACTTACATTTGCCCTGAAAGCATAAAATTATCTATAGTTGTAGGCATAAAATTGCGTACAAAATATTTAGATTTCGGCATTAAATAACCCATGGAAGTGTTGATATGCCGCTAAACAAAATCAACCAACCAAGAATACAAATTTATAGTAAAATGACCAAAAATACATTTTATTTGTAGTTGAAGGCATACAATTGCGTTCAAAATATAATTAGTTGAAACCATAAAATTGTGTTCAAAATATTTAGATTTCGGCATTAAATAACCCATGGAGGTGTTGATATGCAGCTAAACAAAATCAACCAACCAACAATACAAATTTATAGTAAAATGACCAAAAATACATTTTATCTGGAGTTGAAGGCATACAATTTATTTAGTTGAAGCCATAAAATTGTGTTCAAAATATTTAGATTTTGATGTTAAATAACCCATAGAGGTATTGATATGCCACTAAACAAAAAACAAAAACAAATCAATCAACGTATGACGTTTCTTTGTTTTATGTACGATTATTAAAAGATAATAAAATATTGCGCAAAAGGTGCAAAAAGTCCCAAATTGTTGAGACAGGAGGATTTCGTTAGAAATATAGAAAAGTGTGCTAAACTGCTGCGTAATGCTAAACCTTCTATATGTCATTGAATGTTGAACAATTTCCTCCGAGATGAAGACGAGACAGAGACGTGTTTCTACAGAAGGATGCTGAGAATCAATTGGAAGGGTCATGTGTTTAACTTGTAATGTTTACGGAAAATTAGGGCAAAAAGGACATTTGTACTTTATAATCAGAAAGAGACAATTGAAATTTCTGTGACACAGGAAAGAGGGCTTAGAGAATTTGATACTCACAAGACATACTGAATGCAAAATGGGGAAATGGAACACAGATTAAACTACAAAAAAGAGCTTGTGTAAATTAATGATTTATACCTTTCCCAAGAGGATTTGTGTGAAGATGAATAGGACGTGCACTGCCAGAGTTCGAACCCGTTTTGCCGATTTCACCTGACGATTCGCTAACCGTTATTTTACGCGTACTTCTGGGAGAAATAATAAGAGGGCAAACATTTTTTTTAGGGCTACAAAGGATATAGAAGTTGTGGAGAGCCATGTTCGCCTAATCCCTGAAAAGACAAGAAGAAGAGCAAAAAGAACAAGAACAAGAAGGAGGAGGAGGAGAAGGAGAAGGAAGAAGAGGAGCAGCAGAAGAAGAAGATTCCCTGCGTGTTGGAATCTTTTCTCAGGCATTTTTTGGAAGTACTGCCAATTGGGGGATTTTTTTTTTCTTTTAACTTTGTCTTGGCTGCATCGAAGTAGACCATTTGGAAGAACGAGATCTCCTTCGCTTTACATGACGTACCCAGAGGATGCAACTTGGGGAATTTAACAGCTGAGTGTTGATATCACAACCGATAACAAATTGAAGGGGAGAAAACATAAAGAGAATAAGAAAAAAAAAGATACTAGAGAAGAAGTGGGGAGTTTTAAGGGGGAGAAGAAGGGGGGAGAAGAAGGGGGGAGAAGAAGGGGGGAGAAGGGGGTAGAAGAGTGGGGGAGATGTTTTCCTTTTCGTTTCCTTTTTTAACGCAGACGTGGTTTATTTTTGTGGATTATGAGACTGTGTCACCAAACTGCAAATGAAGACATTTGGCAGGCGTGTTCCTTATGCAAATAAGCTTCAACGATTGCAGGCTGATGGAGATAAATATTAGAAAGTTAAATATAGAACGGCACATCGCTTTTCAGGTTCAAAATTTGAACTTAAACTGAGAACAAATTCAGCATATATTTTTTACCATTTTTACTCTTAGATTTTGTTACGGCTTCTGCGTCGTTCCAATTCCTTCTCCCCTTTCTTCTTCTTCTTCTTCTTCTTCTTCTTCTTCTTCTTCTTCTTTCTTCTCATCCTTTTTTCTTCTTCTTCTTCTTCTTCTTCTTCTTCTTCTCTTCTCCTCCTCATCTCCCCTTCTTCTTCTTCTTCTTCTTCTTTTGCATAACGTTTCTTTGACATTTTTCTCTCTTAGTTTATCATTTTTCTCCATATATATATATATATATATATATATATATATATATATATATATATATATATATATATATATCATCCACAGACAGACTGTTCCGCTACTGGAGCATAATAATTTGTGGCTGATTACACACACACACACACACACAGATACACGCATGTACACATATATAGGTGTGTGTGTGTGTGTATTTTGTGTGTGTGTACATATGTATGTGCGTAAAAACTTCAAAATTCGGTTATAAATAAAATATATACGTAAAAAACAATAAAAAAATAAATATATCTAAACAAATAAGAAAATTTTTAAAAAATCAACAACAATAACAATTTTTTATTCACTTTCGTTTATTAGGCATTAAATTACATCACTTAGCATCTTCCATAGTTTGCCTTGATCTTCACAGTTACCACCAGGACTATTTTTGAGCGTTCTTAAATTTAAAAATTTTCAAA